TCCATACTAGCTGCATACTCTTCCGGTGGCTCCTGCCAAGATCAGGCTAAATCAATGAGTCGCTGGGGAGAGGTGACCGTGTATTCTCAAAAGGAGCCTGTACAATGTTGTCTATACAACAAAGACCAACCTGACTGGTGGGCCACAACAAGAGTCCTGTCATCTAGTCCCCCGCCTCCCCCTACCTGGCCCAAGTAAGGGCAATTGAGATGGAATGAATAAAGGTTATTTAAAACCGTTTGGTTTGGGGCTGAGCCCTCACCCTAATGTCGCCCCAAATTTAAACCTAATTCTAATTCTATCCCTTGACCAAACTCTACCATCTAATCCTAGATCTAGACCAAATCCAAACCCTGCTATTAGATGTGGTCTAATACTAATGCTAGCTTTAACCTTAACTGTACCCTTGGCCCTAACTGTAGTTCTCACCCTCCCCCTCCCCCTCCTCCTAACGCTAAACCTGGTAAATATAACTTTATCACTAACACACGTACTAAACTTAAGCGGATCCTGGAAAGGATCCTAGAGAAAAAAAGAACGCTGTAATTTGACAGAGGTGAGGCTTTAGTTGTTAAAGCAACAGTGGTGCTCTGTTGACTGGGATAGAATTAGAATTCAGTCTCCGAGGGGCAAAGCTGACCCAAGGAAACATTTGGCAATATGCACTGTGGGTCAGACATTGGGCTCTTACCTGCAACATCAGCAGTTCAAACCCACCAGCGAGGTATGAGAAAGCTGAGGCTGGCTGCTCCTACAAAAATTCATAATTTCAAAAACCACAGAGAGGGTCACCAAGAGTTGGAATCAACTTGATTTTCAGTTGTCACAACTTGGAAGGTGAAGGGCAGGTGCTACTGGTACCTAGCACTTGCACCTCATCATCCTTTGAATCTAACTGGGAAGTGCAGGCGCAGATCATTTCTCCTCTATTTTCAGAAGGGTGATGGTTTGGGGAACAAGGCTCCTTGGAGGAAAGGGAGCAAGACCTCATGGGGCTTTGGGGAGGAGTGCTTCGGGCAGTCAGGAAAGAACACTAGGGAAGGCGCTCTCAGAAACTGGGAGCGATTAGACAGGGAGCAGCAAGGTGCCAAGACAGCCTGGATCTTGTGAGCTGGCACATGCAGGGAGGGTATCAACCACCAAACGAAACCCCCTGCCATCAAGGCGATCCCGACACAGCAGCCCTGTGGAACTGCCCTGCAGGGTGTCCAAGGCCGTGATCTTGATGGACGCAGACTGCCACTGCTTTCTCCCACGAGCGGCTGTTGGGTTCAAAGGGCCTTCGCAGATGAGCACTCAGCTGCTGGCCACCAGGGCTCCTTATCCACCACCCAGAGAAGTAATCAGCCCTAGGGCTCATGGTGCTCAAGGGGAGAAAAGATGACCCCTTGGTTATGGGAGCCGTCCAAGAGAACAATGGTCCTCCTGGGAACAGGCTTCAGGCGGATTTTAAAAGCTGACCGGAACATTCTACGGCTTAGCCAAGCCCTTCATCTCATCAATGAGGAAACAGAGCCTGGGAGTCTGGGTGACTCAGTATGGTCCCCTAACTAATGGGGACAGAGCCAGGGTCCAACTCCAAGCCTTTGGACTCCGGGTCTGTATCCCTCTGTAGCCAAAGCACATAGAACACCTAGTTTTGAATGGCCCGTGTTCACTCTGGCTCAACTGCTCTTCATCTGAGCGACAGCGGAAGTCGCCAGCCAGGCTCAGGCCTGGGTTCCCAAACCAGGCCCCGTGGAACTAGAGAATCCTGGGTGCCGACTCTGCTCCCAAATCAAGTGATTCACTCTTTCCCAACTTGAAGGGCGTGGGGTGTAGAAGGTAACTGGGGAAAACTGGCTCTTTTTTTCTTTTTAACCTTCTGTTTTTCCTTTTTCTTTCTTCCTAGACAATCTATGGCTTCAAACTCAAAACTCACTACTATCACGTTCATAATTCATGGCGACCTAAGGACAGGTAGAACTGCCCCAGTGGGTCTCCAAGACTGTGACTGTCAACAGGAGTAGAAAGCCCCATCTTTCTCCCAGGAAAGTACCTGGTGGTTTCAAACTGCTGACCAATTTGTAACCACAACACGACCAGGGCTCCCGCCTAAGGTTCCCCAAACCACCAATACCAGCTAACATCACACACCCCACCAAATAAATGCAGTTTCAGTAATCACATTTGGGGTGAGGTCGTTAGACAAAAAAGGATCCCCACCTCTGGTTTAGAGCGAAATCTAGAAAGTTCCAGCCTGCTGTTCTGAACTCAGATGAGGTCAGTGGTTTGCTAACAATCTTGAAGGCCGGAAGCGTGTCCATACAAGCTGCTACTGTGGGGACAAGGAAAACCACCTGCTTGGGGGACGAAACGAACCTGCAGTTTTGGTTGGAATTCCAAAATGTTCTCATAGGGAACCTGACTGAGGCCAAGAGAAGGTAGGTACTTGCCCAGAAGGCACAGAATCGGTCACCAGCAGGGCTGGAATTCAACCCAGGCCCAATTCAACCTATACCCTTAATCGATGCGTGATGCAGCCATCTCTTTAAGAAACTCAGGACCACATGAAGGGGGTGTCCGGGGTGGCGGGGGGGGCTGAACAGAGCCATTGACCTCCACTCCCTCCTAAAGCCCTGAGAAAATAATTAAGGGGAATCTTTCTAAATTTCATTTTGTAAAATGTTGTTACTGTTGTTAACACACATATACTCAAAGTACATGCCAAGTCAACCATGTGCTAAGTTGGGTTCTCCAGAGAAGCAAAAACCAGTGACACTTGTATATGTTTGTAGATAAATAGATTGATATCGATAAATAAATGGCTTACACAGCTGGAAAAGTAGGGGAAGGCCAGCCTGGCTCAATTTGCGGTTCTCCTGACTCATGGAAGCTGGCCAACAGGGAGCAAGATGTCCAAGCAGAGGTGGCAAGGGTGGAGGTGGGGGCGCACAGGCTGGCAGATGCAGAGGTAAATGCATCTGCCATCAGCAGTCTGACGGCTCCAGAATCTGCAGACCCTCCCAGGTAAGGCAATAGGAGACGGAGGAGCCAGACGCCAGCTCCCGCAAAAGGCCAAGAGCCACCAAGGAGCCCACTCTGCTCAGGCTCTTTCTTAGACAAGGCCACACCGTCAAGGAGGTGTCATCAGGCTGGAACTTCACTGATAGGTCGGCCTCCAGGCCCGTCATTACCCAGGGAAGTCTAACAGACGGAATCCCGAACCATCACAGACGTCTCCACACATGCCACTCAGCGACACCCATCCTGTCCTTCGAGTGAGTCTCGCAGGTCCCCACCCCCTGCCCTGTTCTGAGTCACTCCCCCCTCCTGAACAAAGACCCCCTGCCCTAGACAGTCCTGTTGTCCGCAGGGCCGCTGTCAGCTCGACCTCATACAGATCTCAAAAGAACAGAATGTTCAAGGTAGTGTTTTTGCTCGTCAAGCTAAACCAGTGCTTGTTGTTTTGCTTTGGTTTTTTTTTAATATTTTCTGTTTAAGGCTGAAGAACGACCTTTGTTGTTGTTAGGTGCCATCAGGTCTCAGTCACAGTTTTTCTCGAATTCAAGGGGGGAAAAAAAGAGCCTCCTATATCTGACCACAGAGTTCTAATAAATGTTCATTGTTGGGAGGATAAAAGTCTCGGGACAATAGTCTCAGGAGTTCATCCCCCTTCGTGGTGCCAGAAAGTCCTCCAGAACTTGAAACTGTCCCACGGTTCGCGGAGGTGGTTTTCCATGCAGGCATGAACCCCTCCGATCACAAGAATTGGAGCAGAGGGAATAGCAAGGCAGCAGGGAGCCTGAAGAGACGGGGGTGGGGTGCTCACTGACCACAGCCTAGGCAACTGCATCCTAACCCTGGAGCAGAGAAAGACCCTGGTGATCCCAAGGAAGCCCAGGAGCTCAGCACCTTCGGGTGGGAGCAAAGGTGGAAGTAAAAGCAGCCTCCTCCCTGAAAATGTATTGAAGAGCAGTACGCAGCCCAGATCCGCTTCCCGCTCTACATAGCCAGGTGACTGCCTTCGAAGCCAGAGGCCCTCTCTGGACAAGTTTAACAAGACAGGCTCCTTATCTACTGTGGTTCTTCTAGCCAAAGTCTTTCACTCCCATCACACGTCCTTTCTTTGCATAGGTCTGATAAGAAGGTGGGAGAAAGATACTGTAAGGATCCACCTGTAATTGCGAATAGGATTCCCTGGAGTGTTCTTCTGCTGTGTCAAAAATGGGAAGCAGGAAGAGGGGGGCTCATGACCAGCAATAGCCAGGAGTGGAGCATGTCCTCTAGACCCCAGACCCTTGCACAGTGGCCCTCCTGGATCCAGAAGAGCAGCAGCACAATGAGGTGTCAGAGCACGGAACTGGGGGTGGACTTCCCGACCCACGGGGCAAGACAAGCTGCATGCCTCTGTGCAGGAAGCTGGCATGTGGAGGGGGCATCCCCGGGCACTTAATTGGCTTGCTGACCCACGGAAGCCAAGCTGAGTGCCTTCCGGCTGAGCCTTACTGGAGGGAGCACATAATTCAGGGGGCTGGGCTTGCTGAATGCCTTCCAGTCTGAGGCTGAGAGCAGAGTGGCATGCCTCCTGGGCATTGATTAGCCATCAGTCCTGAAAGAATTTTGTGACAGGCACGGACTGAGCAACTCTCACCCGCCTTGCAGTTCGTTAAACTGCCTTAATCACCCCCCTCCTTCATCATGAGTAGGGTCTTGAGTTGGTGTGGCCACTGCGATGAATTGGAGAATCGACAGGAAACAGTAGAAAACCGCGTGTGTGTGCTCCAGTGCACGCCCAAGCAGTGTTCTGTCAAACCTGACTTACACCATGCGAAGTGGACCGGTAGATGAAAACCAGAATCGCAGGCTCTCCTAGCTGTTGGGTCTGGCTCGTCGATACAGCGGAGGAGACAGAGTCCACTCACACAGTCGTGTAGTCCCTCTGTCCCCACGTGAGCAAGACCTCCAGCCCCGGGTCACCACCTGACCCACCCCGATGCTGCTTGAACCCAGCCTCTTACCTGCCTCTGCATTTCTTCAACCTGCCTCTGGGGGATGCTCTGCAGGATACTATAGGTGTCCGACATCTTTTCTTCTGGTACAACCACCGATGCTCTGGGGACATAAACAGACAGCCTGTCGTCCTCACAAGCAGCAGCGAGGCCCAGCGCTCTTCAACCCCGCCGCCCGGCCCTCCCCTTCCGCCTGGCCGAACTTTCCAAAAGCGTTCCTGGTGCTCACTCAACCACTCAACTGCTCACGTGCACCGCCCCTGCCCCCTGCGCCACCCCCACCCCCCCGCCCGCCCCCTGCACTCCGTCCAGGCTCTAGCCACTGTAGGACCCTTCCCATTGCTTGACCATGCCATGCTCTGCCCGTCCACAGGCCCTGGAGCATCCGTGCCCTATTCTTTCCTGGCCTCCGCTCCTTCTTTGAGCTAACCGTTCCCCTTCTCCCTTAACTACCGACTCCAATCTATCCATTATTCAGTCAAGGCACTTAAAAAAAAACCTTCGTGGAAAAATGGGATGAAAAGATCGTGGAAAGTTTCCTGGGACTTCCTGAGGCCCACTGCATGTACATATGGAGCGCCTACTATGTCCTGGGTGCTATCAAGACAACGGTGAACAGAGCAGGCCAGGAAGGGGAGAGAAATCCCCGGGACACCTGGGGGAAGAGTAGAGGACTGAGGTATCTGAGCCGAAGGACAGAGAAGTTAAGGGCCCTGCGGAAACCACCTGTCAGGCAGGTGCCAGGCACGGCAAGGAAACCCGTGAGGGCGAAGCAGAGGAAGCAAGGAGAGCCATGGGAGACGAGGGGAGAAGGGCAAGGGAGGGTCCTAGACCTCTGACTTTCAGACCTCTGTAAGGACTTCGCTCTTTCTGACTGGGAGATGGGAAGGCTTTAGAGGGCTTTGGGCAAAGGCATGGGTGGCAATTCTATGATTACGTCCCAGGCTCATTCTGCCTGCAGGGCTGAACAAGCCACAGGAATGAAGGTCTTTGAACTGCTGGGAACCGGTGCAGCCGTGCCCCACTTGTGGGCTGCAATGAGTAGGGCTAAGGGGAATGCGGAGAATGACAGGCTGAAGCACTGGAGTGTGCGACACACTCGGCAGGGGCGTGGCGAGCCTTTCAAGAACATAATGGTGGCATTGGATTACTGCCAGAAAGGTGGAGAGAGACTTACATTCAAAGTAGGTGACAGGCTGCCATCGCTGAGGTGGGCGCTGCTATTTCTGACACTGTCCGTCAAGAAATGTGGTTGGCAGGCAGCATACGGGAGAAGCCCAGGCTTCCTACTCCCGTAAAGAGTTACACTCTTGGGCAGCCACAGAGGCAGGTCAGCCCTGTCCTCTAAGTTGAAATCGACTCAGTGGCACTGAGGATACAGATGGGAAACTGAGGCTCAGAAGAGATGACGTCATTTTCCAGGCTCACAGAGCTAGCCAGCACTAGCTTCAGAGCTCCACTGTGTATCCACAGTCACAACTACTCAAAACCACAAAGCCAAGCTCACTACCATCAAGTGCATGCTGACTCGTTCCGACCTGGAGGTCAGGGTAGCACTGCCCCTGTGGGTTTCCATTTCCGAGGCTGGAACTCTCTATGGGAGGGGAAAGCCCCCCATCTGTCCCGCTTGGAGCGGCCGGTGGTTTCTAACTGCTGACCTTGAAGTGAGTGGCTCAATGCCTAACCACTATGCCACCAGGAACCCTTACAACTACTCAAGGAGCGCCTGATCCTTGTAAGACTCTCCTTCCCATCTCAGCTTAGAGCTGCTGCCCCTGTGACCCCCTGTGTGATCGGCCAAGGGGTGGAGAGGGGCTTGCCTTCCCCACTGGGTTCCGACTGCCTCAAGATCAAAGGGCCGACTTTCTGCACATGTGAGACGACGGCGGCGGCCCGAGTGAGCGAGTGAATGCGTTCAGCTCAGGTGGTTCAAACGCCCGTGGTGCTCAGACTGGGAGAGAAACATCAGAGTTGGGAACAGAGGATGCAATTAAGCATTGGAGGCAAGGGCATGCCTGAGACACATTAATATCGATATAAAAGGAACTAATTTTCAATCATGTTTCACCTTCAAAGCAAGCAGAGAAAAGAGGAATCGTTGCGTTCATGGCAGTACTGACCAAGCAAAAGCCAGCCTGGGCATGTTCCTCAGCATCTGTCCACGTGCAGACACTCGACCCTGAGCCGGTACAAAAGGTAGATTCAACAGTGACTCTGGAGCTGGGGATGCGGGATGTTGTGGCTACAAATCAGAGCCAAGGAGGCTTTAGAAAGTCAGACCCCCTGGGATCTGGTCAAGGAGCCCTAGTGACACAATGGTTCCAAACTGGGCTGCAAACAGTAGGGTTAGCAGTTCAAAACCACCGGCTGCTCTGAGGGAGGACGGCAAGGCTTTCTGCTCCTCTAAAGAGTTAGGGTCGCAGAAATTCACGGTGGTAGTTCTACCCTGTGCTATGAGTCGGCATCGACTATGGCAGCAAGTCTGGGAATAGGGTCCAGGAATTGTCTTTTTTTTCTTCTTCAAATCCTTCCTGGTGATGCAGTGGGTTATACATTGGGCTGGGCTGCTACCCACAGTTCAAAACCCCCAGCTGCTCCACAGGAGAAAGATGAGGCTTTCTACTCCCATAAAGAGTTCCAGTCTCAGAAACCCCGAGGTAGGTCTAGTCTGCCCTGCAGGGTCGCCACGAGTTGGAATTGACGAGACAGCAGTGTGCTTGGTGAGGCGAATCTCAGCAGAAGTCCAGTTGAGAAAACCACCTCTGCAGGCCAGGGGTCAACCTTTCTTTCTTGCTAAGGGCAGGGGCATCAATATTGCTCATCTTTGTGCACCATACCATCTCTGTCGCAAGTACACCACTCGGCCCTGGGAGCACACAAGCAGCCACCGACGTTTAGTGAGTGGGCGTGTTTGTAAATAACACTCTTCATGCAAAAACACGTAGCCTGCCAAATGGGGGCCTCAGCTAGCCAGTCCCCAGCACTAGGTCCCTCCCCTGCCCCTCCTACAGGACAATGTGGCAGAAATGAACAGGACGTGTGGACCGCATGCATGCACTTCCAGGCCCTCTCTCCCTGCCCTCAAGTGGATAAGGACCACGGTGACGCTGGAAGACGGGGCAGAGCTGCCCCTGTGGGTTCTCCAGACTGCCACTCTTGACGAGAGTAGAAAGCCTCATCTTTCTCTCGAGGAGTGGCCGGTGGTTTCAAACTCTGCCGTTAGGGTCAGCAGCCCAGCGAATAACCACTACGCTACCAGGGCTCCTTCGGAAGTTCACTAGCGAGTAATAAAGGCCCACCTCTTCCAGTCAAGGACTTCCGAGAAAGGGAGGATGTAGGAGTCTGCAATGACCACGGGGACGCAGCCAGCCTGCAGCACATCACTCAGCGCCGCCTGGCCCAGCCTAGCGCCTCGAAGAACCACGCAGAAAGTCGCCTCCTGCGGAAACGTGAGCCAAGGCAGGTTATTAGAAAACCGCTCTGCCTATCTACCCCCTCTGACCTCGCAGACCCCACATTCCTGGAGCTGAAGCCACTCCTTGTACTGGATGTGGTCCACACTCAAGTTCACGGGAAACCAAAAGCCACACTGGCAGCTGGCTCCTGGTGGCCCCCGTGTGTCGGGGCAGGACTGTGCTGCACACGGTTGGAGGGAGGGGTTCTTGCCACCCTTTCTTCTGAGGCATCTCTGGGTAGACCTGATCCCCCAACGTCCCAGTTAGCAGCTCAGCCCATTAAACCTTCTGTACCACCCGGGGACTTCCAGGTTCCAGGTAGCTAATTTGAACTTATTTCTTAGAGCCCTGACCACTTGTGGGCTCTACCCCAGCCCCACCCCCCATGCCCACACACAGTGAAATGTCCACTCAGGTAACTTGACCCAAGAAAGCTAGAAGGTAATAGCTCACACCAGCAGGACTTGAATCATTTAACCACCGGCTTTTGCAGTTCCATGCTTCTGTCTAACTTCAAGGCACCACTGTGAGCATTGGGAAAATGTTCAGAACCAACGTCAAAAGTCTTCCGCTGGCCATTCAGTGGCCTGACTTCCCAGAGACTGATTGATCTCTTTTGCCTTAAGCCTTAGGTCAACACATCACAGCCCAGTCTGAGCGTTTCTTCCAGTGCCCGTCCCAGCCGACCCTTGGCCTCTGTTCTGGGTGTGTCCCCGTGCTCTTGAGGGCTCTCTAGAGTCCCCTCTCCCCATCTCTATTCCCCACAGAACACAGCAGTGCGCTTTGTACATAGAGGACGCACGCTACACAAAGACAATGGCTTGAAAAGACACTACTGTGGTGAGCTGCCACGGAATTGGTTGCAAACCGTAGTGAACCCATGGGTGACAAAAGTTAACATTGGGCGACAGCAGTTCTCAACCTGTGGGTCGGGACCCCTTTGGGGGTCGAACAACCCTTTCACAGGGGTCACTTGATTCATAACAGTAGCAAAATTACAGTTAGGAAGTAGCAACGAAAATAATTTTCTGTTTAGGGGTCACCACAACACGAGGAACTACATGAAAGGGTTGCGGCATGAGGAAGGTTGAAAACCACTGTTGTACAAGGAAAAGCAAGTTTCAGAGCCTCCTCTGACATCCGCTTTGATCTTTTCTTTCCTGTCTTTTAAGCAACGTTTTGCCTTCTTCGTGAATGATGGTCTAGATGTCCTCCCACTGCCCATCAGGTCTTCTGTCATGAGTGCTCATTGCAGCAAATCTGTTCTTGAGATTCAAGTGGGATACCTTACAAATCCGGCTAGACCAGATGATGTACTCTGGTACAGATAGCAACTGGAAACACAGGGAGTCCAGGGCAGATGATCCCTTCAGGACCAGTGCTGAGAATGATGATACCGGGAGGGCAGAGGGAGGATGGGGTAGAAAGGGGGACCAATTACAAGGATCTACATGTGACCTCCTCCCTAGGGGACAGACAACAGAAAGTGGATGAAGGGAGTCATCGGACAGTATAAAATATGACAAATTAATAATAATTTATAAATTATCAAGGGTTCATGAGGGAGGTGGGAGTGGGGAGGGAGGGGGGAAATGAGCTGATATCAAGGACTCAAGCAGAAAGCAAATGTTTTGAGAACGATAATGGCAACAAATGTACAAATGTGCTTGACACGATGGATGGATGGATGGATGGATTGTGATGAGTTGCACAATCCCCCAATTGGCAACAAATGTACAAATGTGCTTGACACAATGGATGGATGTATGGATTGTGATGAGTTGTACGAGCCCCCAGTAAAATGATTTAAAAAAAAAAGAAAATATTAAAAAAAATTCCAGTGGGATACACTGACGGTCATAATGTTGGCTCTTGTGGACTTGTTTTAGTTTTCTTCAACTTCAACCAGAACTTACATATAAGCAATTGATGGCCTGTTCCAGTCAGCCCCTGGCCTGGCTTTAGCCGCTGAGATTGAGCTTCTCCATCATTTCTTCCCACAGATGTAGTGATGTGATTTCTGTGTATTCCACCTGGAGAAGTCCACACGTACAGTTACCTTTTGTGGTGTTGCAAAAAGGTATTTGTGATGAAGAAGTCGTTGGTTTTGCAAAACTCTATCATGCCATCTTTAGCTTGGTTTTTATCACAAAGACTCTATTTTCCAACTACTGTTCCTTCCAGCGTTTGCATTCCAATCGCCAATTAGTTATCAATGCATCCTGGCGGCATGTTTGATCGATTTCAGGCTCAAGACATTGGTCGAATTCTTTAACTTCTTTGGTGGTACTGAGCCCTAGTGGCAGAGTGGGTTAGGGGCTGGGCTGTTATGCACAGGGTGAGCGGGTAGGAACCACCCGCTGCTCCCCAGGGGGAAATACCGTTTTCTGTGCCCATCAAGTGACTGCCCCACAGGCAGAGTTGTAAGGTTTTCTTCTGAACTTCGGTGGTTGGTGCACACATTTGAAGAAAAGTCCTATTGACTAGATCTCCTTGTTTGTGGGTAGACATTATCCTCTCACACACTGTACTTCAAGATAGCTCTTGAAACACCCTTTCTGATGATGAATGTAACACCGTCATCAGATAGTGCCATCCCTGGCAGAGTACACCATGCAGTTTTCTGATTCAAAATGGCCAATACCAGTCCATTCCTGCTCACTAACGCCGAGAATATCGATCTCTATGAGTTCCATTTCAATTTTGATGACTTCCAATTTTCCTAGAGTCACACTGCCTTCATTCCAAGTTCCAATTATGAATTGATGCTTGCAACTGTTTCTTCTCGCTTTGAGCAATGCCCCATTAGCAAATAGAGGCCCTGAAGGCTTTCCCCGTCTGCATCATTATGGCCGACTCTCCTTTGAGAAGGCAGCTCCTCCGCAGTCGTATTGTCAGTGCCCACGCTGAGGGCTCATCTGGCGCTGTTCTGAGTCTGTGCACGAGGTTTTCAGTGACCAGCAATGTGCTGATGCTACCCAGCGGGTGTCAGTGGTAATGCCTCAGACATGGACAGCCTGCTCCTTCTTTCTAGTCTGTTCTCAGTCTGGAAGCTCTGTGAAGCCTGTTCACCTTGGGGGCCCTGCAGGTGTTTGAAAGGCCAGTGCCCATAGCTTCCAGCATCACAGCAACAGGCAAACCGCCACAGTGTGACAAAGTGACAGGCACGTGGTGTTGAAAAGACATTAAGACAGACAAATTCCACTTAGAAACCATAAAGCCAATGAAAGCAAAAAGGCTTCCTCCTCCTCCTCCTCGCCTTTAAACCGTCCATGTGAGCATGTTGGGACTCACTCTGGTTGTTCTTTGTTGGCCATAACTAAGCGCACGAGAGCCTGTTAGAAGCCCTTTCCGGTCATTTGATCCTGACGCACACCCCTAAGCTCACTGACGGCTTATGTCCTCCTCTGCTGAGGCCAGCAATGCCGTACGGTCACTACTCGTGCTCCAGCTCTTTCCAGAAGTGGGGTGGAACGTTTCCAGAGATGCAGAATGAGGGCCCCACAGGAGAAAGCCCACTGCCCTGGGCAGGCCAGGGTAAGAAAGCCCCTCACTGGCCACCCCTCAGTGTCTCTCCATTTTACCTTTTCAGGAGAGGAAAAGAAAAAATGGGGGTTGGGAAATGGGAGCAGGAATTAAAAAGAAAAGTAAAATGAAACTGTTTAACCTTGAAATGGAGAGAAAAAGAAACATTCATATATATATATATATATATATATATATATATATATATATACATGGAAACGCAATCCTCCAAGCTCCTCGGGGATAAACAAGGAAGCAGCCAGTGTGGACATATGGGCGCCCCTCGAGGCCAGGTGGAGTGGCCTGACCTGAGAGCCGGCCTCCAGCTGTGGCCCCACGAGCCGATAGCCATGCTTCCTGTCTAGACAAAGGTCACCAGGAGACCGCTCCTCACCACTGTGATCAGTCAGACATTCCAGAGGGGAACGCAGCACTTTCTGCGGGAAAGTATTCATAATCTCAGCATGGGCCAACTCTTTGGAGATTAAAAAAAAATTGCGCCAACCAGCTCCTTGCTATATGCATGGCTCCCTGAATGAATCAGTGCGCTTTTAAAAAGTATCCCAGTGACTAGAACCTTGGTGTCCCCTTTCCCAGCCGCTGTGCCGTAGTATGTCAGGCAGGGACGCTGCTGCTGCTCCTCCGCCTGGGGCTTTGGGGCCAGCCAGTCCCAGGACGCTACCAGTGACCTGCTTGTCATTATTGCTAGGTGCGGTCCAGTCACTTCCGACTCACCGTGACCCTAGACCAGTGATTCTCAACCTTCCTCATGCCTCGACCGTTCATACAGTTCCTCGCGTAGTGGTGACCCCCCACTCCCACCCCCGCCACCCAACCAGAAAATCATTTTCATTGCTACTTCATCACTGTCATTTTGCTACTGTTATGAGTCAGGCGACCCCTGTGAAAGGGTCATTGGACACCACCCCCCCAGCGGGGTCGCGACCCACAGGTTGAGAACCACTGCCGTCGTACAACGGAAGTCAACACTGCCTGGTCCTGCATGGCCATCCTCATAATTGTTGGGTTTGAGCCCACTGCTTCAGCCACTGTGTCATCCCATCGTGTGGAGGGTGCTGTTCTTGTTCGCTGGCCCTGCACTTGACCGAGCATGTCCTTTCTCCAGGGACTGGTCTCTCCTGATGGGAAGACCAAGGCACACAGATGAAGTCTCGCCATCCTTGCCGCTATGGAGCTTCCTGGCCGTCCTTCTCAAGAGACAGATGTCCTGGTCCTTCCGACAGCCCATGGTGACAGAGCACTCCTCATCCAAGAGAGACTCCTTCAGTCATCTGTACGCCGTGCCCTCCTTTCACATGCACATGAGATGAAAATGCCGGGGTAGGTCAGGTGGACCTCAGTCCCCGAGGCGACACCTTGCTTTTCACACTTCAAAGAAGTCCTGTGCAGATTTGCCCGATGAGCTGCATTGTTGGATCTCTTGACTGCGGCGTCCATGATGAGCACTGGCTGTGGATCCAAGCAGGATGAATTCCCTGGTAACTTCCATCTTTTCCCTGTTTGTCATGATGTTACCAATTGGTCCAGTTGTGTGCCTTTCTTTCCCTGACAAAAAGCCAGAACACAAGACAGGCCTTCTCGCTTAGCACCACATGGTCTTCTAGACTTCACCTGGAAGGAGAAGCTCCCACACTCACCTGCAGCACCTGGGGGTAGTCAAAGACTTGGTGCTTGTGGCAGCGCTTGCGAACGGCCAGGACGCCCTCCGAGAGGTTGGTGCACTTATCCAGAACCATCACGGCGTCTCCGTGCTTGGCCTGGAGGGCTTCCAGTTCCTCCCTGAACTCGGGATGCAGGCCCATCTGAGACGAGAGGAGGAAGTACCGCCGGGCGCTGTGGGAGAGAAAGTGACAGGGAAGTTGCAGCAGCACACATTAGACAATGCCAGTGGGCACTAAACTTAGGGCCGTGCGCGTGTGGGTGATGCCACCAGAAGGGCAACATGAGGCTGCACTTGAGAAAGAGCCGGAACTCCACCTTCTGTGAATCCACACCCCACCGTCTTTGGGGGTGAGGGGAACGGAGAAAAGGAAGGGATACTGTCCTTCATTTCTTAGACTCTGGAGCCCTGGAGACACGGATGTAATGCTCGCCTCTGTATCAAATCAATGGGTCCATCCACCAGCTACTCCTCAGGAGAAAGACGAGGCAGCCTGTGTATGTAACGATGAGCAGCCTTAGAAACCCCGCGGGCAGTTCTCCTCGGCCCTGCGGTGTCCCTCTGGGTCAGAACCCAAGAAAGAGGGCGTTATCTGCCAGGAGTGATGGGGGCGGGGGAGATGGGATGGCAGTGGAAGGATGACATCAGGGGCCAGAATCTGGGTGATGGGAGGAGGCTCCTCTGGGCCATGAAGGGGACAGTGGCAACAGCGAGGTTTAATGACACAGAAAATCCCACTGACTTTTAATGGAGTCCAGCTCTGTAGGACAGGGTAGAACTGCTCTGTGGGGTTTTCAAGGCCGAACATCTTTATAGAGATCAGATATAAACAGCCACCTCTTGTTCCCTCAAACTGCTGACCTTTCAGTTCTCAGCTGAATACTTAACCACTACACTACCTAGGCTCAGTTTAAGTGACCGTTTTAGCTTTGCGCTGCTAACCCCAAGGTCAGTGGTTCAAACCCACCAGTTGCTTTGATGGGGAAGGAGGAGGCTGTCAGCTCCTGTAAGGATTTAGAGTCTTAGAAACCCTAAGGAGCAGTTCTACTCTGACCTACAGGGTTGCTTGTGAGGGCACCTTATATGCATATGTGCAGATACTGAGGACAATGGGACACAGATTTCTCACAGTCAGGATGAACCCACACCTACGGAGAGAGAGACCCCGAGCTCTCCTGTGCTGCGGGCAGGAACTAGCCACATCCACAAGAATCCAGAGTTTTCAGCATACATTCCATCCCTCCATCCCTGCCCCCGAGGTGCCATCAGTTGATTCTGACTCACAGCTGTCACAGGGACCCTACAGGGCAGGGCAGAACTGCTCCATAGGGTTCCTAAGACTGTAAACAGTGATGGCAGCAGGCGGGCTCATCTTTCTCCAGTGGAGTGGCTTCGAACCACTAACCTTTCAGTGACCTCTAACCAATGCGCTCCCGGGGCTCCCTCCATATGCAGGTGTACAGAGAGATCTTTATAGATACAGAAATAAATACAGGTGGTGATGTGTATGGGGGTGTTGTGTGTGTGTGTGTGTGTGTGTGTGTGTGTGTGTGACTGCTGTAAAGAAAGACGCTGGCTCAGATTTCACCAGCTCTGTTTCAGACCCTCAGCAACTGAGGTCACGGGGTCTCCAGCCATCACTTGTCTTCAGCGTCCGTGTGCAGATGTGAATGAGCCTGAAAACCTCCTGGCCTGGCAGTCAGCGGGAGGCAGGGCCCGTGTTCGTTTTAAGAAAATAAAAATGTTAAGGTGGACTTGTTTTTCTTTTACGGACTAAAACGTTACTAGCTCTAGCTTTCGAGTTCCCTCCCAGTGGTGCTGATATCTAAATTTAAATGAAAACCACGCTGAGAACTTGAAGTCTCCCTCACACAACAACAGCTGGAAACTCCCAGTTTGGTTCCTGTGGAGGGAGACCGACAAGAATTCCGGGGCTGGGCCGAGGCCAGCCCAGCTGTCGGAAGAGGCCTTCAATAGCAGCAATCTCCACTTCCCCTTTGGAACAAAAAACGTAGAGGGATTTAAAATAAAAACAATGTTCTCGCAGCTCCGGGCACTGAGATGTGGGAAGTCCTAAAAAGCGACTCTCACGACGACAAACCCACTGAAAACGCTGCTGTGGGGCCACCCGGCCTGCCTTCTCCTAACCCCTGAAAGGGCTGACCAGTCTGCTTGGGTTTTGTCACTACCTTTTGTCGGGTGGAGGGATGGGGAGGAGTCATGGGGGGCTACTGTTTGTCAGAGAAACACCACAACTGTGGAGCCAAACTGCCCAGCGGAGGTGTGCCAACTGGCCAGCCGGGGGAGGACCCTGTCCCCCAGATCCTGCAACTTCCTTCCCCCAAACAAACCAAACTTGCTGGCATGGGGTCAAGTCTGACTCCTTACAGGTCAGAGCAGGCCTGCCCCCTGTGGGTTTCCAAGATTTCAACGTACGGGAGTCGACAGCCTCCTCTCTCCCTGGGAGCTGGTTAGACACTCAGACCTTTAATGATCTACATAGGGCCTTTCTTTGTCCATCTGTATGGAAATGTTCGATTCTGACTCAGAGCCAGCCGACAGGGCTGAGGAGCACGGCCCGGTGAGTTCCGAGGCTGCACATCCTGACAAGCAGAAAGCCTCATCTTTCCCCTGAGGGGCAGCTGGTGGGTTTGAACCACTGACCTTGAAGTAAGCAGCCCTGTGAGTGGTCCACTATCCCACCAGGGCTATAGACATCTTAGAGAGTTTATATGAAATAAGAGAATACCACCACTACCACACGGTCAGTCTCTGAAAGGACTGATCTGAAAAGGCTTACTCTTTGGAGCAGTGTGTTCACCTGGGTTTGTTTTCAGAAATGCTTTCGCTTTTCAGGTTTCCCTCCCTGGGCTGAATGTCGAGCAGAGTTAGACTGAGAACCCATGGAAGCAGCGCCCAGGTGAGCAGGCTGGGTAAGCACTGCACGGCTACCTGAAAGGTCGGAAGATGGCATCCCGCAAGGAGCCCTCAGTGGGCCGGGAGATCTGCTCCCTAAAGCCATGGAGTGCAGCCCTCCACTGACCACAATCCTGGGTCATGGGGAGTTGGATAGGACCAGACGATGACGATGATGGGGCGATTATCAAGCAATAGTGTCAACATCACTGTGGCACCATTTGTATGCCACTCCAAGCCCAAACCAAACCCACTGCCAACTCATAGCCGCCCTATAGAGGGGGATACACAGCCCTCACCTGTCTCCTAAGAAGCAGTTGGTGGGCTTGAACCACTGACCTTGGGATGAGCAGGCCATCGCTTACGCCACAGCACCACCAGGGCGCCTTTCTTGTGTGGCACAAAAAACTCTCAAGAGCCACGGAGCCATTTCCAATGCATGGTGAGCCTACAGGCAGAGCAGACGTGCCCCTGTGCGTTTCCAAGACTGCAGACCTTCACAAGAGCAGAAAACCTCATCTTTCTTCCTCGGAGCAGCTGGTGGATTCAAACTGCCAGCCTTATCACTAGCAGCCCAAGGCGTAGCCAGCTCACCGCCCCAGGGCTCCTATGTGATTAGAATCCAGTAAAAATTCTGGGTGCCGAGTCTGGGGACATCCTGGTGACAGACAACACTTCACAGGCCGTCATCTTGCTGGGGGACGCGGCACGTCCTGCCTGAGAGGCGCCCCCAGAGGCGGCCACTGGAGCCGGCACCGCTCTGACCTGGACTTGCCCCAGGTCCTTGTCCCCTCAGCCTGTTCAGAGCTGTGACCACAACCAGGTGCCGTGCTAACATGGGGCAGAGCTGGGGGGGGGCCTCCGCCACGGCCACCTGCTCTGCGCGGGATGGGGCGAGCAGGGCCTGGACAGGGTGGGAGAAGAATGGGGACCAAAACGCAAAATCATTAACCTAAAAAGAAGCAAAGCCAGGCTTGCCCGGTGCTAAGGGGAACTCTAACACCAGCGAGAAGCACACACCTTTGAAGAAGGAGCCACTTCAGACCCAAAGGGCAGCCCTTCCCCAAGGACAGAGGCCTGAAGGGCTAGGAAAGGGGAGACATGGCAACAGGAAACACGGGGGAGGGGAGGCGATCGGAGTAGCGAGCACAGACGGAATCTCCACTTTCTTTTTTTTCAGCTTCAACCAACATTTCCCCACCTACTAAACAAAAGAAAGCCAACCCAGCACCGACAGTGGAACTGGCTCACAGCAACCCTGGAACCACCAGCTCACAGCTCAGACCTGCCCCCTTCCAAGGGTCTTCGAGGCTATGGTCTGCCCGGAAGTAGGCGGCCTCATCCCCCTCCCAAAGGGCAGCTGGTGGGTTTGAACCACTGACTATTTATGGCTGAGCACTTAACTGTACCACGAGGCTCCTTTCACAACTTGCTGCAATTCCTCATCTCTACTGCCCGGCCAACATGCCATGTGAAGATCCTGGGCCTGTGGCAGAAACCCCAGCTGTCCCCCAAGGGCCACCAGTCGGGCTACTCGCTGGCAGGGCTATGAAGCAGTTCCTTCCAGTTGCCCCCAGAGAGACGAAATCAGGATCTACATTTCAACTTAGGTACACAGAGAAATCAGCTGGGGCACCTGGGGGCTATACAACATGGACATAAGGCTGGGGCCTATCGGTGGGCCCCCACAGGAATGGAAAGAGCAGCTTTCCGGGAATTCAAGCCAAGACTAGAAGAGGGGACCAGCTCCATTGTGGAGGAGACGCTGGTAGGTCTGTTGGTGAGTATGGCGGGTGATTGGGGAGAAGTAGCCTCACAGCGGGGAAGGGATGCTAAACAATGAGCGTGGGGAACCTCGGGGGACAATGGGCCAGATTATGTGTTCCTGGGTAGACGCTACAAATATGTTTCTACCCAACTTTCAGTGAACCACGCCATGGACTGAGCACCGGGATGCTCATGGAAGCTGACCTTGCCGGCAGCATGGCATAACACAGGGGCTGCACCGAAGGACTTAACAAAGAGGCCCGGCTGAATGAACTGAACCCTGCCTTGAAGCTGCCTGCACCCTTGGACTGAGGACTGGGGGACTCGGACGGGAGAGGAAACAGAGAGTAGCTGCCCCAGAACTGTGGAAGTGGCAGTCATTGGACATTTGGGGGAACCCCTGGTTCGGTGGGTGTCCAATGGAAAGGGACCAAGGATCACCATCGATGTAGTACCTCTATTCCCATCTTGCAGTGGCATGACCGGTTCTGATCTGCACGTGGCAGACTTGATCTAGGAAGATCCCCCTGGCATCAATCCCCTGACTTAGGGTAAAAAGAGCCCAATCAAGGGGGTGATCGAACTGTATGGAGTCAAGCTCGTGGGTTTCAGCTCAGGGGGAAGCGGTACTGGCACAGACTCCTCACGCCGACAGTGCCGGCAGTTATGAGTCCTGGAGAATACTGATGATTCTAATAGTACAGTCGATGTGTAACGGGGGGTGCCTGACAATGCTGTACTTCTTTGTTCATATGGGTTTGGCTTCACTGCTTGTATGTGTGTGTGCTCTGTTTGTTTGGTTGCTGACTGGCTTACGGCTGCTTTTGGTGCAGTTGGTCTTACAGGGTTTTGATTTGATCCTATTACGACCGCCCGAGCAAACCAGAGACGTGCAAACCCCCTGGACAAGCAGATGGAGTCTAGGCTCCTCCTTCACTCTTTCCCCAATTCAAGAACAGATCATTCTGATACCGTAGCCCTGCTGAAAGGATCACTGAAGATGAGGGTGCTCTAACAAAGTGTGGTGAAGAAAGTAGACGATGCTCAGCTATCAATCGGAATAGTGTCTGGGGTCTTAAAGGCTTGTATTCAAGCAACCAGCAACTAAGAGAGGAGTCAACTAAGTCCACACGGAAGCCGCACACCAGCTTGTGTGATCCAAAGATGACAATCACAAAGCTTGAATATGGAGAAAAGTATCAGGGCTAAAATTATGAACACCCAATTTGTAGATGGTTATGGAGGACAGTGGGAGCCCCAAACCCATCTTCAGAGAATCTAGTCAGACTAAGCCACTAGCAAGTCCCCTCTAGCCACAGGTAAGAGTCTCGAACACCTTACTATCAAGCAGAGACCACTGTAATCTTGCTTATGCTGGATAGAATTCGATACTTGGCCAGTTGACCTCTATACACCCAACCCGAGTTTGTTCTAGGGGCAAATATCTCTTATTTGTCCCATGACAAAAATTTCTTCCCTAGCTTTTAAAAATATTGATGGTGTCTTTGCTTTCTTACTCGCTATTTTTTGATTATGATGATGATGATTTTATTCTTGCCACCTTATTTTGATTTTGGTTCTTATTGTTTCTGTTGGGTTTCCCAGTTTGTGAAGCACAGGAGTAGTGGATGCCTAGTGATAGTAACTGATACAAGGGTTGATGGGGGATGCAAGGGTGCACTGGGTCGCTGTGGGTCGGAGCCGAGTCTACAGCGTGAAACAACAACAGCATGCCTCGTGCCCCCAAAGGGGTGGCTCCAGTGGCTCCAACAGAGCGGTGGTGAGAGCCGGGTGAGGGCAGAGGAGACGGGGTGGGGGGTGGCAGCCACACCTGAGAACGTCTAGATGTAGAAACACACCCTGACCGAGCCTGCTGCCAGCGAGCCCATGCCGACTCACAGCGACCCCACAGGACAGAGTAGAACTGCCCCCGTGGCTTCCGAGGCTGGGACTCTTCATGGGAGCAGAAAGCCTCATCGTGCTCCTGTGGAGAAGCTGGTGGGTTTGAACTGCCGGTCTTGCTGTGAGTGGCCCAACGTGTCACACTGACTATTTTAATATAGAGAGTACAGAAGAGAAAAGGAGATCAGAGAGCCACCTCAATTCTGGCTTGGAAAACGTGCTCAGATGGCCTTGTGAATCTACTGAGATGGGGCTCCTCGCAGGTCAACAGGGCTGTGGACAGTGGTGAGGCACGGGCTCTCTGGCCTGTCACGGGCAGGCGCTGTGACGGCCGTAAGCCCCAGCGCACAGGACCTCTGCAGGGCTCAAGGCATCTGCCCAGGGGGAACACCTTACCCCGGTCCCTTCTCTGGAAGCTCCACCTCCACCGACAGGGGACTGTAGACAGGAATGCTGACGTCGTAGCCTTGTCGGTACGTCCACGTGGAAAAGCCACCGCCTGCCAGCAGGGCCCTGGAAGCAAAGGGAGGGGAGGGTGAAGGGTGAGAGTGAGGTCTTCATGCCTGGACAAGAAAAGTGCCCGTCCTGTTTGTGGTAGGCAAAGGAGAAGAGTCATGGAGTCCTAAACCAGGCCAACTACTGCTGCCCCAGTCCCTTCTCATCCAGGACGCTGTGGTCAGTGCCTATATGCACGTCTCCTGGACACCAGCTGAGCCACCCAACTTCCCTTGGGCCCACAAATCTGTCTTCCCTTACTTTTTAAACAAGCATCAGAGTCCAGAGCCAGTCTCTGGGATCCCAGTCCTTGCTTGCCAAACTCCCCAAACCAAACTCACTGCCATCGAGTCCAGGGCCTTCCTCTTTCCCGCTGCCCCTCCACTTGACCAAGCACGATGTCTTTCTCCAGGGACGGGCCTCTCCTGACAACATGTCCACAGTGTGCGAGGCGGAGTCTGGCCCTCCTCGCCTCTCAGGAGCACTCGGGCCGGACTTCTTGCGAAGCAGATCGGTTTGTCCTTTAACAGCCTGTGGCACTGCCGGTATTCCTCTGCAGCACAACGCACACACATCGATTCTTCTTCTGTCCTGCTTGTGCAGCGCCCAGCTTTCACACGCAATGGAAAACACCGCGGTGGGGTACTTGGGATAGCTGTTAAGGTGCTTAGGCATGAGTCTGGTTTGTGTTTTAACCATCTGTACAGTTCAGAGAGCCGCACTGACACTCTTCCCGGTGCAGTGATAAAATCTGGGGTTTCAACATAGTTCAGGGGGGAGGGGCACGGCTCAGATAAAACTGGCCCTGACTTGAGGCTAACGGACTCTGAGCAAAGGGTCCGCAAGGTCCCCTGAACTCACTGCTCTTCTTTGGGGCAGGTCTGGAGTTCCCTTCACAGGTTTAAGGCATCAGTACTTGTCTACACAGGAGATGTTTGGGGGGCGGGGAGATAAGCAAAGAGGAGAGATGTCAATGATAGTAACCATAGAATATTTCCGAGCACACTAAGGTCAGTAATGTATAGGACGCTCCCAAAACTCCAAAAAAACTCACTGCCAGCCAGTTGATGCAGACTCAGAGTGACCCCACAGGACAGGGTAGAACTGGCCCCTGAACATTTCCAAGACTGTAACTCTCTGAGGGATTAGAAGGGTGGGTGGTGGTTTCGAACTGCTGACCTTGCAGTTAGGTCCCACCTAAATTAAAATAAAATAGATCTGTGTGTATATGTACGTACAAGCCCACAGAAAGAACAGAAAAAGACATAGTATTTTAATAATGATTTATCTCTCAGTAGGAGCCCTGGCAGGAGAAAGACGAGGCTTTCTACTCCTGGAAAGAGTCACCGTCTTGGAAACTCACGGGGACAGTTCTGCCCTGTCCTCGAGGGCCGCTGGCAGTGGTGAAAGAGCTCTGTGACACTGCCCAAGCAGGGCAGAGAACCAAGGGGCCCTGTGGCTGAGAGGCGGAGGACCAGAGAGAGATCTGGGGGCAGGCATGGTTGGGAAGAGGCTCTGCTGAGCCAACAACTGTCCTGAGCATTTCTGATCTTGATTTAGAACCTGTTAACTTCCCTAAGAAACCCCACACTTGCACGGTCTGAGTTCTGTCTGGCCACAGCAGTGAACTGGCGAAGCCGGAAGAGAAGTAGTCTGATGAGAACTGGTAAGGAAGGTGGGAGGGTGGAGGGAGGCCTGACCTCTGACTCCCAGGAACTGCCTGGGGCTGACGAGGGTGATTCTCTTTCTCCCTGCTAAAGGCAGCTGAGGTCAGATGCCACCTCCACCACCTTTTCACAGTTTTGGAAACAAATAGAGACAGCAGGAACATTTATTCACTGAGCATTGTCTTAGATCTAGGTCCTTGGGTTTCTCTGAGTAAAATAATTCCGAAGTGAGCCCACCTATGGTTTTAGACTTCAGACCACACGAAGAGTTGAATCTCACCCATCTGTTTTCTAGCTGGGAGTCTTGGTGGCGTAGGGGGTTGGTCTGCCCGCTGCAAGATCTGCAGATTGAAACCACCAGCTCCTCTGAGCGAGAAAGACGAGGCTTGCTACTCCTGTAAAGATTCCCGGTCTCAGAAGCCCAGCGGCACTGTTCTAGCCAGTCCTACAAGGTCCCAAGGAGTCGGCATCAACTGGATGGCAGTTGCGTTTTGTGTTTTGCTTTCTAACTGCCGAATACTCTGATCTGCAGCTCCTTCCTAAATGAGGGCACCCCGGCTTCCTGGCCGTCTCCTCAGAATCCAGGAGCAGGACAAAGCGGGGGGTGGGGG